AGAAAATTCAGAAACAAGTCCTGAAGAACTATTGCACAGTGTCCTCTAGCTTCTGCCTTTCCAACGATGAGACTCCCCTGAGGGGAGTACCCAGACAATCCCCCACAACACACTGAAATAGAATTACCAGGACAGAACACGTGGGAACCCAAGGGCTATTGGCTTATTAGAAATTAGGGTTTGGGATTCTGAATGCCCAATTCACCCCTTTCCAACTACATGACATCACGAAAGCAAGCGACTTCTTTTAAGAGTTGAACACCTCTTCAGTTAAATAGGTATAATAATTCCTATTTTTGAAAAGTCCAGGTCAGGATTAAATAACATCATGTGTCAAAGTGCTTTATATAATGTCTGGAATATAGTTAATGCCCAATAAGCTGTGAGTCTCAGTACTGATGTCACTATTTACATTTCTGTCAATGGCACTGTGGACTCCAGGGGGCACGATGGCCAGCCACCCTTCACTGGTGTTGGTGAGGTAGCAACTTTTCTGAGGGACAAGTATTACTTGACAGGGTACCTCATCTCAGTGACAGCAGGATTTCTCACATGGTAGAACCCGTCTTGGGCAGTGTCACCACTGGAATCATTTTATGAGAGTGAGACCCACAGGAGGGTGTGTGGCCACATCTTGATCAAGAAGGAATTTGGAACATCCATGTCACTCACAGTTGAAAGGGGGTGACTTACTTTTAGGGAAGGACTTGGGGTTACTAAGGTACACTGATGAAGCAAGCCGCACATTGTAGTATTTTTAAATATATGCTTACGTAATGTTTAAGGGCAGGGCTTCCTGTGGTACAGCCTGCTGCCCCCGCAGAATGAAGCATCCCTTGGAAAAGTACGAGGTGACAAAGATGCTACTAATCAGATAGGGTGGGGTGCAGTGGACCTGAGAGCCTACAGTAGTGGGCAGGGAAGAGGTAAAGGTGGGCAGGAAAATCACCTCAATTACACGTTCTCAATGGCTTTCTTCTTTGGCTCTGAAATCATAAAGTTAGAACAATAAAAGGCCAGATTTCCCTCTGGCGAGAACTGCTAGCACTGAGCCAGGCACCTGCTGGAGTCGTGACTGTTTTCTCCCCTGAGCAAATAAAGACGGGTCATCTCCCTTCCTTGGCCAGGGCAGCTGCTCCCCATGTCCACTGACAATACCCTTACTATTTTTATTCACCAAGAGAAAACAACCGATAAAATCTCAAAACTGAAAAGAACTAGTCATTCCTGTCCAGCCTCTATCTAATGCAAAAAGCCCCTTAGAGGAAAAAAGAAGTCCAAGGCCAGGTTTTAAGCAGATGGGGGAGAGACAAAGACATAGAGAGACACAGGGTATCTAAAAAGTCTGGAACATAGAGAAAATGTTTCATTTATTCATGACACTTTTTTTGGATTAATGGTTAAATCTATGGTTTTAAATTTTGTGTGCAAAAGTGTCTGGAAGAAAAAATACCTCCTGAATATACTGTATGAAAATGTAACATAAAAATAAAAATGTCCCTAGGCTTTTAGGCTTTCAAACATACGTCTTCCCAAAGCAGTATCCTTAAGTTTCTATCTAACATGTATTTATAGGATTTTCATTTCAGTCTCTCTAATGCGGATTAGCTGCTGTGAATCAGAGGAAACACTGTGCTCACTACAGCAAGGTCAGCGTCACATCTGGCACAGTCACCTCTCTTTTCCCCGGGGAGGAAGGTCGAACTGCACCACTGTGACTTTCCACTTACTCCTCTATTGATTCTGATTTGGGGTCTATAAAGTTCCTAAGCCTCCTTTCTAAAATTTCTTCTTCTTTATACCAAGACTTATTGGATATTTCTCAAATTTTTTCTGCCAAAAAATACAGTTGGCAGAAGTGCTCCTATGGATGACGAGTCCGAATGTTGTGAAGGGAACCATGTGTGAACGTAGAAAGGACAGTGATGGAACTGCCGCTGGGCTGACCACAGGGCTGAGCACCAGCTCCATGTGCTAAGTGAGGGGATTCGGATTCCTCTGTGTCACTCAGGTGAGTGGCATTTAGATAGAAATGTCTCAAGGTTGATCTAAAAGAAAGGAATGAGCTGAAAGAAAGTGAACAAAAGGATTGTATGATCTTAACTCCAAATATCCTAAATATAAGTATTGCCTAAAATAGACGTGAGAGAGACACCACTCTAAACCTATGTCAATTCTCTTCAACACGCCCAGAGGCCCCTATCTGAGCCTCAGTGGAGTCCTTTAGTGCCCCGGGGGGGGGG